CCCCAAGGCCTGACGCTGTACCTTGAGCACGTCCTTCATGAGCTGGAGTAGCTCCTGCTTCTCCTCCAGCTTCTCGATCGTGTCGATGATCGCCGCGGCCATCTCGGCTTTTGAGCGCCCCAGCCGATGCGGAATCAGAGTGTAGAACTGGAGAGACGATTCAGGAGAGAAGACGTCAGCAACCACATCACATCCCTGGGTTAGGGAATGCAATGAATGCAGGCGCATGCGGAAGAGACATACCTCGCCCGAGAGCTTGGCGACTGACCCCTGGTCCACGAAACCGCCGGTCGAGGTGAGGTGGTCCTGGATGCGGCCCAGGATGGCCTCGCCCTCGGCGATCTGCTCCAGGTCGAGGATGCCGAGCGGCGTCTCGAGCCCGCGCGCTGTGATTTTCGCCGAGACCTTGCTCGTCAGCTGGTTCGTCGCCTCCTCGTAGATGTCCCTCACCAGCTGCCTCACCTGCTCCGTGAGCTGGGCGGCGGTTGCCTTGTCAGCTGCGAGCTCTTCGTCGTCGGCTGTCGATTGGCCGGTGAGTGCATTCATTCCACCAATCACAACCATGGCAAAACGAAGTGGTGGCGCACCACTGGCCCGGGCGACCTTGGCCTGGCTGGTGTGCTGGTCCACGGCCCGGCCCTTCTCTGAGCCGACAGTGGCGGCGGCCAGCTTGATGGACTTGTAGCCCTTGGCCTCGGCGTCCGACTTGTCCTCCAAGATCAGGTCGTAGATCCACTATGGAGTGACGAAAGGAATTCAAGTTATTCTCCTGCGCCCCACAGTTCACTGGCAAAGTGGGGAGCCGATGGTGTGGCAGCGTACGTTGGCTTGTTGGAGGCTGTGGAGGTATCGACATTCCTTGCGCTCGACGAACAGGTCCGATGACTCTTCGGCCACGCCGCCGGTGGAATCCAGACCAGATTGTGACTCGGCATCGAGCAGGTCGGTGCGTCCGTAGTGGGTGTAGATGCGGAAGTAGCTCTTGCCCCTCTCCTTGCCCTCATGCAGCTCCATGCTGTAGAACTTGTTCCGATTCTCGTTCAGCTCAGTCACCTGCACTCGATACCATGACGACACAGTGAGCCCAACGACGCGGAAGAGAATGACGAGGATGACGTGTACGTTCAGTACGTCCCTGCGGACGATGTCATAGTCCTTTGGGAAGTGCGGGGCGTGCGGGTCATCCGCCTTGTAGATCTTGACGAGGCCCCAGTGGGGTCGCCAGTTGTCCTTCTTGGCCGGCTTCGGCAGAACGGCGTCGGTCGAGTCCACAGGCACGGGCGCTGGGGTGACCAAAGGCGATGCCGACGCGGCACCGAAGGCCGCAAGCTGCACCCCGGTCGATGCCTGCTGGGCCGGTGCGGACAGCGACAGTTGCGAAGGCGGCGCCGCAAACTGGAACGCGGGTGTTGAGAGGCGTGACACCACGCCCGCCTTCCTCTTTGCCCGAATGAGCGGCCGCGAGGGGTTGGCGGAAGGCCAGTCCAGCACCTGCGCCGCTGCGACTAGGCCAGGCCCATTCTGCTCTTGCTCCGCCACACCAAAGGCCGGCAGCTCTCTGGTCCTGTGGGAAAGCTCGCTTCTCGCCAGAGACGAGGTGTAGCCCTCTGCCACAGTACCGGTGGACTGGGGGCTGGCCTGGGCGAGGGTATAGGCGGCTTCGGCCAAACGCTCTCCTGCGCGGATGGAGTCGTGAATGAAGTCGGCCGACACGACGTGCACCCGGTCGTAGGCCATGGCCCGCGCCACCTTGTAGGAGGCCGCGTCCACCTCGGCTTGAGTGGTCACCATGTGCGTGATCTGCGCCGAGACGATGTGCGCCACTTCGCCGCCCTGTTGGCGAATCTTGGCGTGGAGGTCGCGCATCTCGGCGATGAGGCCGCACACGACGAACACCAGGCCCTCGAAGAGATTCCTCGCTTCGCTCGCCCCGGGGGGCACTTCGACCTGCGTGCCGCTGTCGCCGACCTCATCGTCGTCCGCGCTGTCAACGTCATCAACACCCAGAGCCGCTTCTTCCGCCGAAAGAGAGCCAACGTTGTATCGGGGCTCGACGTCGGCCAGAGCCCAGCGAATGGGTTCATGGCCCGCCTTTATCAGCAGTTCGTTGGCCTTCGAGAAGTGCTTGCAGCCGAAGAAGCCTGAGGCGCACCACCGCACACCGCACATCGCCGCACACCGCAGGTCGGTCGGCAGATAAAACGCAGGTCCTAGGGTGGAGGAGCAAGCAGGCACCTTTGTCGGCGGAGAAGGGCGAGGGGTGGGCCGCGGTGAGGATGGAGTGGCGGGAGCGGTCGATGAGCCGGCTCTTGGACTGGGCGCTCTTGCCCCACAGCAGGAACACGACCCCGTCCCCCTCTCTGCTCACTGCCTCGAGCACTCGATTCGTGAACATCTCCCAGCCCTTGCCCGAGTGCGACAGCGGCGTGCCCCTCCTGCAACCCACACAGCCATGGGTCACGTCAGCACACAGCACGTCAACGCCGCGGGGCAGGTGACGTCGTACCGGACTGTGAGGCAAGTGTTGAGGAGTAGGACGCCCTGTTCGGCCCACGAGAGCAGGCAGCCGTTGGGAAAAGCTTCGGGCGGCAGGTCAAGGTCGCTCTGCAGCTCCTGCGCCCACAAAGAAGTTAGTTCGAAAAAAGCGAAGGCGCCAAAAGAAAAAAGAGCGAAGACGAGGGTACCTTGAAGATGTTGAGAAGGGACGGTGGGGTGGGGGCCTGGGGCAGCACGGAGAAGGCGAGGCCGTGGGCCTGACGAGGCTGGTGGTAGGGGTCCTGGCCCAGAACGACCACCTTGACCCGGTCGAGCGGACACGCGTTGAGAGCCTCGAAGACCTGCTCTCGAGGCGGGAAGACGGTCATCGCCTCGGCGGTGTCATCTTGTTGCTGAGTTGCCACTCGTGGTTCAGGAAGCGTTCGAGGGCGCCGAAGTAGGACTGCTCGAATTCAGGGCACAGTGCACGGCACCACGACTCCTCCCTCAGACCGGCTGCCAACGACGAGCTCGCGCAGCAGCGCCCCTCTTGGTCAGCCATCTTTTTCCTCTCTTGGGGGCTCTCAATCTTTTTTAATACTGTCTTGTGACAACCACAACATTCGTTCCTGGAAAGCGAAAATAAAATGCTTGAATTTCAACAATGTCGCCGACATGACGCGTGTTGAGCTCGCAAAAGAGAAAAGGTGACTGACGGTAACAGTTTGAGCCATGGAGAAGAAGCGCATGCACATCCTGCTGGTCATCGACAGCAACCCCGCCAACAACTGGTATCGCGTCTTCAAGGGCCTCAAAGGTGAGTTCGCTCAGTGCCCCCCCACTCCGTTCACACTTTCACTGGTCCTACCAATAGTCAAAACTGTTTATTTTATTGATTTATTCATCCATTTATTATTAATTTTTCATTTGTGGTTGTGTTGTGGACTGCAGGACCGGATGGGGAGGAGATCCGGGTGGAGCAGACGCAGTGGGACCTGATCGAGGCGTGGGCCGACGACGCGGTGCACCTCACCGTCCACCCGTCGCCCGAGCCCATCCTGGGCAGCTCCCAGAAGTACGAGCGCAGCTTCACCCCCGACTTCGTCCTCGTCCGCAACTTTGTGCTGGGCATCCACGGTCAGTCGTGGCTCAACACCCTCATGGCCCTCCGGTACACCACACACCTGAAGACGGCGCTGTTGATGATGGTGACGATGGTGCTGGTGGTGGTGATGGCGGCGTAGAGTGGGTAACGTGCCGGCAGTGAACTCGCTGGACTCGGTGTTCTTCAGCACGCAGCGGGCGCTGATGATCGCGGAGCTGAAGCGGATCCAGGGCAAGCTGGGCAAGGACGTGTTCCCGCTCGTGCCCATCCGCTACTACCCCAACACCCGGCACCACCTGCCCAAGCCCAAGGACCTCCCGCTGGTTCACACCACCCACCACCTCCCTCCAGTGGCCGCTCCATCGTAACCGGCGTTGAGTTGTGTGCGTGCCGCGTGGCGTGTGTGGCGTGTGTGGCGTGTGTGGGTTGGTTGTAGGTGGCCAAGGTGGGTACGTCGCACGCGGGCTATGGTAAAATGAAGTTCAAGGACGACGACTTTGCCGACTTCTCCACACTGATGGCCATGTAAGTGCAAAGAAATTCCTGCGAAAGGGGTCCTGGTCATGACGCTATGCTTGTGCCGTGTGTGCCGTGTGTGCCGTGTGCCGTGTGTGCGTGTTGTGTACGCAACGCAGGTATTCGGACTACATTACGACGGAGCCGTTCGTGCCCAACGTGGGCGACGTGCGCATTCAGAGGGTGGGGGACCAGGTCAGGGCCTACCGCAGGGTCACGGCCGGGTGGAAGGGCAACGTGGGCGAGGCCGAGGTGGAGGACATCCCAGTCACCCCCCTCTACCAGCTGTGGGCCGGTACGTCGAAATAGAAAACGAGAGAATCGTGTGCAGTCGTGCGTGTGTCGTGTGTCGTGTGCGGTGGTGGTGAGCAGTCCTCCTCACTCACTGCTCTCTCAACTCGACTGCGCCAAAACAGATGAGTGCAGCAAGATCTTCGGCGGCCTGGACATCTTGAGCATCGACGCTGTGGTCGACGAGAAGGGCAACCACACCATCCTTGGTACGCGACCTAACGATGATGGTGATGATGATGATGAGGTTTGGTGTTTGGTCTGACTGCGACGTGGCGGCGATGCAGAGGTGAACGACACCGCCACGGGCTTGAACCCCTTCCACCAGGAAGAGGACACGGCCCACATCAGAGACCTCGTCCTCCGCCGCATGACCGAAGCCTTCAACGCCACCAACAGCAACTGAGAGTTGTTGCCAGCAGCCCAGCGCTGACGAAATGTTGCCGTGTAATTTCCTAAATCACCTACATTCGTGGCGCGCTGCACACCAAAAGTGGTCAGGAACGTCGGTCGGACCTTGAGGAGGACTTGGAAGATGACGAAGACGAGTCGCTGGAGGGCGGGGGCGGCAGGGGCGGGGGCGCCGGGGTGAAGGAGGGCGGGTAGGAGGCGTAGGCGTGGTGGACGTGTCCCATCTGCGGCGACGAACCCGAGGTGGACCACGGTGAGGGCAGGGTGAGCGGCGGCAGCGTCATTGGCGGCGGACGGCTCTGTCGCAGAGACCCGGCACCACCCGATCCGGGCGGCGACGGACCCGACAACGATGACGACGATGACGAAGAAGCAGATGACGAAGAGGCCGAAGAAGAAGAAGAAGACGGAGGCGAATTCAGCGAGGAGGAGGAGTTGCGAGCAGGGCGGCGGAGTTGAGGGCGGAGAGATAGGCAAACTCAGAGTCGGAGGGCGGACGCGGCCGCTGAGACGAAGGCGAGGGAGGCGCGCCGCCTGACGACGACGAGAGCGAGGCGGAGGAGGAGAGCGCCGCCCCGGACGAGAGCAGGCCGGTTTGCGTGAGGGGCGGAAGGGTGGTGAAGGGCAGCTGCGACGACGATGAAGAAGACGAGGATGACGTGGATGAAGTGGAGGTGGAGGTCGACGATGAAGACCCAGGCCTGTGCGGCGAGGGCGAGGGCGGCTGTGCGAGGATGTGCGCGTGGTGTGGCTGAAGTGTCGACAAGGCTGGGCCGGCGCCCATGGGGAAGATGTTGTGCCCCATGCCTGCTGTTGGGGAATCGGCATCGGTATCGGCGGCGCTTCATAGCCGCGCAGCGTACTGATCGCGTAGAAGAGCGAGAAGATCGACATCTGCGCGCGCCCATGCACGCGACACATGCAACACAGCCATGTGAGACTGGAGGTGTGTGCGATGTAGAGAGGGGGGGGGCAGTTAGGGGTTCAACCATGCTGGATCGGACATCGGAGGACCAGAGCTCGACGGTCTTGTGAAAGGAGTCCTTGTAGCAGTGGCCGGTCCAGTGGGGCAAGGACTCGCACACCTGCCACAGCATGCTTTTCTGGTCCGGCGGCAGATCGTCCAACTCGCCGGCCCAATGCTGCAGCTGTTGCGCGGCGGTAAAGGTCAGCTAAATCGTACCACCACCACCACCACCACCACCACCACCACCACCACCACCACCACCACCACCACACACGACTGATGCAGCGAGAGGGGTACCAGCGCCAGCTGTTGCAGAGCCATGGTAGTGTTGGGTCCGGGACCCGGCATGAGCTGTTGCTGTTGCTGGTGGAGATGGTGCTGCTGCTGTTGCTGGTGGTGAGACAGCGACGCAGGCTGGGAAGGAGAGGGCGGCTGCGTTGCGCCAGAGCCTCGTGGCTTTCCGCCGCCGCCGTGGAACGCGCCAGCCGAAGAGGAAGACGACGAAGACGGAGAACTCGGGACCAGCGGCAGCACTTTGGGTAGCGGTACCGACCCAGTTGCTCTCAGCGACTGCGCTGCAGTCGACGACGAAGAATAAGACGGGGGAGGTGCATTGCTGCGGCCGCCACTCCCGGCCCGCTGCGTGGCCCGCGATGATGACGTGGAGGCATCCGAGTCCGCCCGCGATGGCGCGTGCCGTTGCGACGGTTGGGACTGCTGGGGCTGCTGCTGCTGGCGGTGTTGATGGTGTGCGGGCTGTTGCTGCAGCGATCGGCCGCCAGGAGGCGCCGTCACGTGCATCTGCTGGTGCGGGCCGGCCTGGTGCTGCGGTGGCTGCAGGGCCGACGTGGTGGCGGCGGCTGATGCGGCGGCGGAACCGCCGTCGTCGCCCAGGAGGTCGGGGTACTTGAGCACCGACAGCATGAAGGCGAGGTAGAGCAGCTCCACGGCCAGCAGGTTCGTGCTCGGACCGGCCAGCCACCCGGCCACGACAGGCCCGAACGCGGCGTCCGGCATGTTGGAATAAACAGATGAAGATGAAGATGGCGCACCAGAAGAGGAAGTAGCGGCAGCTGTTGGTGATGAGGCGACGAGCGCCATGAGCTGAGACCAGACGGCCTGCCGGGCGTACGGGGGGCGCTCGTCAATGGCCCGCGCCATGGATTGGAGCTCGAGCAGGAGCGACGCGTAGAAGGGGAGCGATGTGAAGCACTGGAAAACGGCGCTGAACACGTGATGGTTCCCGAGAGAGGCACTCGCCCCCGCAGTGGTGGTCTGCACAGCTGCGGCAGGTGGTGGCTGTGGATGCTCCGCGGCAGCGGCTGCAGCCATCCGCTGAAGCAAGGCAAGGCCGCCCACAGCCGCCTCCGAAGAATCAGTGGAAAGGGAGCGATTTCCTCTGTTCCTCGTGGCGTCGCTCGACGGAGCCGCCTTCGCCGACGATTTCGATCTCACCCTCTTCCTGGTGGAAGATGAGGACGACGAGCTGCTCATCTTCGTCTCGCCGCGATCGAGTGAAATAATTCTATTTTTCTGCCACTGGCAAACGCAGATACATAAAATACAAAAATATTAGAAATAATGTTTTTGTATATTTTACTTTTTCCGATGTTTTGTTTTGTTATCAAAAATGGCCGGCGCTACTACGAGAGCGGCGTGGCCTCCCTCTTGCGCTTGCCGGTCGTGTCGACGCCCACGCCCATCCGCTCGACGCTGCTCAACGTGGCCCGCGCATGGCTCTTATGTACACTGTTGTGGGCAGTTGGTGCGTGATGGCCGTCCGCGATGATCGGGTGGCCGAGGTGGTTATGGTGCTGGAGCGCCGCGTGGTGGTGGACCGGTCGATGCGCGCCCGCCGGCGGTCGGTTGTAGCCCGAGGCCAAGTGGGGCGGCATGTCGTGTCGCGGCCCGCCCTCGACCCGCGCCGAAGAGGTCGGCGGTCGATTCATCTCCCGGGGTCCGGCGTGGTGATACCCTCCGCGGAGGCCCGTGCTAGGAGGCAACGACGATGACGATGACGACGACTGTGGTTGAGCCCCGCCGATACGGTGCGGTGGCAGGCCAGATGAAACAAGCGGATGCCGAGCGCTGGCCACCAGTGAACCCGACGACGGCTGGCGATGGCGCGACCCACTACTTCGCGCGGCGTCGTAGTGCGGCATGGCCGAGGGTGGGTGGATGCCCGGGTAGGAGGATGCGCCGGCGTAGCCGGTCGGCCGTGGCGGGTGGCCGGGAACGGTAAGAGGGACGTGAGGCGTGGGCAGGAGGCCATTGCCCGCGGCTGGGGGGTGCGTTCCGTGAGCCGCCGGTCCCCAGCCTTGCGGGCCTGTGGGCAGATTCTGCCTGGCTGGTGGCTGGCCGTACTGCCCGAGCTTCGACGAAGGGTACGGGAGGTGGGCATAGTGTGGAGAGGGAAGAGGAGGCGGGTAGTCGCCGCGCGCGGGCTGTTGCGGTACGGGGAGAGGGACGTGCGGCGGATAGCCGGCATTGTGCGGAGGGTAGGGCTGCGACCGAAGAGGCGCGACCGGAACGTTAGGCGCGTAGCCAGTGACCCTCTGTCTCTTCGGTTGGCGCTCGCTCTGTCGCGTTTTCTTCGCCTCGTATTCGTGCATCGCAGGATAGTGAGGCAGGCTGTTGTACACCCAGCAAAGGTTGGCCGAGTCAGTCATCCGCAAGTAAGAGCAGAAGGATGAGAGGAGAATAAGAAGACGTACTCAGTCGCTTTGCAAGGCACCGGGTCCGTCCAGAAATAGTCGTGGTCAAGGGCCTCCGAGGCGGTCGGCCGGTCCGCAGGATTCAGGGAGAGCATCCTGGACAGGAGATCGAGCGCCCGAGGATCGAACTTGCCGAAGACCTCTCGCAGCCGGTTCTTGTGGCCCATGAGCCCCTGAAGCTGCTTGTAGCCCTCGAGCTTGGTCACGCCAGGCCAGTTCCTCTCGTCGGGTGTCCCACACGTCCGTACGATGAGCTCCAGCTGGTGCTTTTCTTCCCTGCCGGGGAACGGCGACTGTCGCGTCAGGAGCTCGATGAACAAGCATCTGGTAGGTGAGCACGCACACATACAGAACAGTGCGTAAGAATCTCCAACTTTGTATAGCAACAAACGACAGTCGCATGGCAGGAAGGCAAGGGTACCCCGCGCTCCAGATGTCCACCTTGGGGCCATAGGCGTTGACGCCGAGCAGGAGCTCGGGTGCGCGATACCAAAGCGTCACCACGTTCGTTGAGAACGTGCGTCGCCGGAGGTAGTTGGAGGCTAGGCCAAAGTCGGCCATTTTCAGCTCACCATTGTTCAGCAGCAGATTGGCCGCTATGCGAGCGAAGCCGCGGAGGAGAGAGCGAGCGAGAGCAATAGATAGATAGAACAGCACTTGGTTTAGCTAAACCGTGTGGCTCACCTCCTCTTATTAGAGGAGGGAGGTTGGGCCTATGCTGCTGCCTATTACCTTTGATGTCTCTGTGCATGATGCCCGCACGGTGGCACTGGTGAAGGCCCTCCAGCACCTGCTTGAAGAGACATTTGGTCTGCGCCGGGCTGAATTGGAGGTTCTTCAGCGACAGAAGGCCTGAGAGATCATTCTCCATATACTCGAAGGCCAAGACAAGCTCGCCGTCTGCACAGAGCGCACAACGTTGTGTCAATGCCCTGTCCAGCTCAGGCCAAACGGGCGCCGGTACGTAGCGCCATCTTGTGAAGTCTGACCCACGTACCTCTGGTGAAGAAGGTTCCCTCGAGTTTAATCACGTTGGGATTGTCGCTCAGCATCTGCAGGTACTTGATTTCTCTGACTGCTGTGAAAGGAAGCTTTGATGGCATAGATTCGTCAGAAAGAGGATTGGATGGGGTTTGGGGGGGGGAAATGATGCGATGGAGAAGGCAGAAGTACCCCCTCATCATCCTCAGTAGGAAAGACGACTTTAAGTGCAGTGAGCTTGTTTGTGTGAACGTTACGCGCCTTGAAGACACGCCTGCAATGTTTCAGAGTGAATACATACGTATCAGAAGGGGGAAGGAGGAAACATACCCGTAGGTGCCTTCACCCACCTGCTCAATTATGTAGAAATCATCGAAGGAAAGACGTTGTACATGCACCGCAGGCTTCTTGAAGATCATACGATACACAATCAGCTACGCTGCGGAACAGAGGAAACAGATGATGGATGTGTGGCCTGCGTGGCAACCCACAAAGAAAAGTCCTGGCTCCGCTTCTCCGAACACCAGCATCCAGGAAAAAGCAGAGAAAAAGCAAAAGAAAGCTGACAGAAAAGAGCGTCGGACGCGAGTGTGTGTATCTTCATACTATCGTGTGTGGGGTGATCAGCTCAGTGGCTGGAGGGAGTGAAAGGCTGTTGCTGTTGAGGTTGTTGCAGCGCTGTGGATGTTGGGGTGTGCAGGGGCTGTTGCGGCTGGTAGTAGCTGTGAAGGGGAGGCGCGCCTCCTGAGTGCGGAGGAGTGCTGGCGGGGGATGCCGGGGTGAAGGTGCCAGGGAGGTGTGATGGTCTCTGTTGCGCGAGGCCGCCGTACCCGCCAGGTGGGAAGTACTGCCCGCGAGCTGGGCTGTAGGGCTGCGCGAGGGGCGTCGGTGGCTGTGAGAGGGCTGGGAGCGGCAAGCCGCCAAGCGGAGAGGCCGGCACGGTCGTGCCCGCGGGGAGTCCACCCGACACGAAGGACGACGAAATGCCGTGGCCGCTTCCGTAAGGGAAGCTGCCACTTCCGTACGGGGAGCCGCCACTCAGTGGAGTGCTCGCGGGGAGGCCACCCGCGAAAGGCGACGAAATGCTGTGACCACTTCCGTAAGGGAAGCTGCCACTTCCGTACGGGGAGCCGCCGCTCAGTGGAGTGCGCAGAGGGCTCGAGGAGAGTGGTGGGTTCGACGTGATGGAGGAGGGCGGGCTCATCGCAGAGGGCGTCGATGATGGGTTGTAGAGGGGCCGCGACAGGGGCGTCGATGGCGCCGTGACCGCAGGAGCGCCAGGGCTGCCGATCGTGGTGGCGATGGAAGGGGAGGGCTGGCTGTGGCTGTACGGGGCCGCAGGAGTGGCACCAGCGGGAGCTGGGGCGGCAGAAGCCTGAGGGCTGTGGGCGAAAGGCTCTCCTACGCTCTGAGCCGGCGGGTGCTGCGGTACCGGTGGCGTCGATGACGGAGTGTTGACGCTGCTGGCGGGTGCGGTGGTGGCCACAGATACTGGTTGTGTTTGAGGCGGAACCACCACGGGAGGGACGGTCACGCTGGTCGGTGACGTGACGGGGGCATCATGGTGCTGTTCGCCTAGTTCGGTGTCCTCGACCGCAATGCCGTACCGCGCGAGCGTTGCCTTTCTGTCTCGAGCGATGCGGTGTAGCAGGCCATAGCCCACACCACATCCCAGGCTGCGAACAACATGCACGGTACGGCGTGGATGGGGTTAGCGGCGACGAGTCTATGGGGGGGGGGAGGGGAGAAAAACGGCCGTTTAGTGTGCCTCGTACCAGCCAACACCGCCCCAGTCCTTGCGGGGGCGCAAAGACACGAGCCGGATGTTGTCGTCGCGCAGGTTGTATACATAGAGCTGCACAGCCACGCCGACGTTGTTCTGAATCAGGGTGAAGAAGTCCTCGGGGTCGTTGAACGCAAGCTCCGGTGTGCCCACGATGTAGTCCAGGTGGCTCTCCAAACCGGCTTCGGCCGCGGGTGAGTTGGGCGACACCTCCTGTTGTTTTGTTTCCAGAACGTTTAGCGTGTAAGATGAAGGTGAATGCGGGTGGCGAGTGGACCAAGCAGAAGAGGTCTGTGATGTGTAGGCCTTACCAGGACGTGCCACACGTTCTCGTTGGCAGCAGCCACCGAGCAGAAGCGCGTGCTGACTCCTGCACAGTGCTTTCATTGAGTAATGCCGGACACGACAAGCCCACAACAGAACAGAGGTGAGATCATACCAACGATACCGCTACCGCCCCATTGAAGGCTCGGAATAAGCTTCACTCCTGATGAGGTGAACAGCGTGGCCACAGTGAGCGATCGTGACACGATAAGCACAGCGGAGAGCGAGGAAGGAGAAGAACGCACTTCGCACTTGTTCGGTTTTGGTGCTGTAGACTGAAAGGTCGACTTCGTGTTCCAAGTTGCTGCGCAGGGCGTCCACCAGTCTTGAGTCTTCTCTGTCCTGTTGTGCCGTGTGTGCGGCACAGCGCGTTGTGCACATGAGCAGCGGGCGGGAACCGGACGTGAGTCGTTGTTAGGGGGTACTCTACCAATACTTGACCATTGGCAGCGACGATGAAGTCGAAAAAGGGGGTAAGCCCGCTTGCGCCCCAGGCGAGTGCGCCACCACCTGCGGCACCAACCTGCCGTGAGCCAATCTGATCCTATCTGCATGCACGACTCGCCAAAGCGCTTTTGCGCATTCAACTCAGGAGCCAAAAGTACGCACCTTTAGTACGTGGTAGCCCACCTTGGGTCCACCCGTGGTGGAGGCCTCGTTACCCATCCCTGCGTCTGCTGCCCTCTCGCCTCTGGCGTGACGTGTCCCGCGCCTCTGTTGTTTTCTTTTTGTTTCTTTTTTCTTTTTTCTTGTTCGTCAGGAAATCTTGTCGACAAGGCAAAAACTGAATGGGCGGTTGTGTACGCGACACTACTTTACAACACCTGGGAAAGAAGAGCGCATGAAGAAAGAAAAGAAAGAGCAGATGGTGTGAGGAAGCGTCGTAGAAGATGTGTGTGTAAAAGAAGGATGGCATCGGCCGAAGAGCCTTAGTCCTGCTTGCGCTGCTTGGGCGGCGGCGCATCGGAGGGACGGTAGGAGGAGCGCAGAGAGAGGGCGACGAGCATCTTGCCGAAGGAGCGGATGGCGTGGAACCACGAGTGGGTGGTGTAGGGCAAGTTGAACTCGGCGCACGTCTCGCGGACGATCTTGGAGATGGCCGGGTAATGCACGTGCGAGACGGAGGGGAAGAGGTGGTGCTCGATCTGGAAGTTCATGCCGCCCCAGAGCGTGGCCACGATGGTGCTCCACAGGCCGCCGTCGGTGGTGTGGTTGCCGCTGCCGAGCAGCTGCTGCTCGCCCCAGTCGCGCAGGCCGTTCGAGGGGACGCTCACGAGCGAGTGCGTCTCGTAGGTGTCGTGGTTGGGAATGATGTTGAGTGCGTAGCCGAGGCCCTGGCCGCTCCAGTAAAGGGCCATCATGGTCAACGCGGCGCTCGTGGGCAGGAGCTGGAAGGGCAGCACGAGGTGGAAGTAGA